CCTCTTTGTTTTTCAAATGAACACATTAATAAATTAAATACAAAAATAAAAACAACAAATATATCTATCTGATTRTCATCTTATAATTCAATCACTGTCCAAGCTGAGGTCATTTTGAGTCATCTATGACAGGTAAGACAGCAGCTGCAAATAACCTCTCCACAAAACCAGAACATTCCTTTAAGAGATGCTTTGATCCTTATTTTTTGTGGATCTCTGGACTTTGAGCCAAACTTCATGATGTGGACTGGAGGTGGAGGGGTGGGCTGAGGTCCTCCCTCTTAGTAATCCCCTCTGTAGTGACGTCACCACGCTGCCTCCGCGAGGACTCAGCCAGTGTAGTTTCCGACCAGCCTGCAGTGAAGTCAGCGTGCTCATCCCGTCCGCGCGGCTGGAGCTTCAACTTTCAGCTCATCTCTTCGCTTCGGCGCATTTTGGGAAACTGTCGACATCATGGGTAAGTGTTGCTGAGAACACTCCCCCTCAGCTGAGGAGATGGATTTAGGAGTTTTCCTGATGACAGCACGCTCCAAAGCGCCTCTCATCCAACTCGGTGTTTTGTTTGTTTGTTTGTTTTTTTTTAATTTCGGGGCGCGCCTGTTGGGTTGAACGAAGTTTCCCCGCATTAAAGTTGCGCTGCAGAGCAGAAGCTGCTGACCTGGTTTAGAGGAGCAGCCTGCTGAAGCAGCTAAAGGAAAGCGATTAGGCAGAGATTACTGGAGATTCCTCCAGTCCAGGTCTGTGGAGGTGTTAAACCCGGGTCAGCTTCAGTCTCCAGACGCACGGTGCGCACTTCAGTCAGACTTTTATCTCCAGCCCAACCAGGGCCAGCACTATCTGCATCATTTCTGATTACAACTCATTGATCACGTGACAGTGATTGGCTGAAAAGGGGGCTATGTTTTTGATCAGCTCTGGCTCCAGCTTGTAAAAAAAACAACCTGAAGAGCTGAGCTGTGAGGCTGACTCATCTTTAAAAGACTTCCAAGTGTTAACCATCTGGACTCCCAACTTGGAAATTGTATAAAATCCTGTGGATGCTTTGAAACTTCTCACTAAGACTTTTAAATTATGCTAATTAGAAACAGGTGACTCCAGTTCTATAAGGAATCTGTAAAAAAAAATTGCTCTAATTGTAACAGTGTGTTTACTTTTGGGTCTGTTAGCAAAATATCTCATGAACTAGTAGTTGAGTTGTATTGAAACTCTCMAAAAATAATTACTAGATAACCATCTACAACTGTTTAACTTCTGGGATTAACTGGTTTCAAGATGGCCGCCACAGGTAATTAAATGTTGAAAGCACAAAATGACTGTAACTCAGGTAATTTTACACATATTGAGCAAAATTTGTGTTTGAAAGTAGCTAAGAGTTATCTCTATTAGATGTGCCAAGCGCTAACGGATTCTGCAAGATAATTGTTGAAAACACGGACGTTAACTGTCTGCGTCAACCCTGACTGTCTGTTAGCAAAATATCTCACAAACCACTGGGTGGATTTTAATGAAACAGTCAAAATGTCATGATGAGGTGCTCATCTGCACCTGACTGGCTTTTGGGTTTTATCTAATTGCAGATCAACCTTAGCAAACCCAAAAATAGTTTTAAATGAGTCAGTTTTACAGACACTAAGCTAAAATTTGATTTAGTAGTAGCCAAGAGCCATCCCAAACACATAACAGATTGCACAAGATTAATGTTTGGAGTTCAGGCATGCAAAGTTTACATGCATGCCTTCAAGAAATGCTACTTTAAATAGAAAAATTATATTCTGTCATTTTGAGCTGTTCAATTGGAATCTGTCCACTTTTTTTGTTTGATTGCTTTGTTTGTCACAGTGCAGCTGAGGCTCTGGGGGAACGCTGTGAGAAAGTGTATCAATGCTCATTAATTCGCTCTGAAGCTCCCACAGAAGAGCCTTTGTGCTCCTAATTTGGAGCTGCTCCTTTGTGCGACTTCAGTGGCTCCTCATGTAGGGAGAGAGGGAGAAGTTCTCTGAAGTGCAAGTTTCATAGCGGATGCCCTGCGAACTAATTCCCCACAGACCCTCATTCACTGTCTCACACAGGATATTACTCTGCATAGCAATCAACCTTTGTGCATTGTCTGATGGCTGAAGCACCCATTTTATTTTCAAATGCTTTCACAGTCCCTCTGATTAAAAAAAAATGTGTGCACATGACGGGACTCGTTCGGAGACTCGTTTGCTGAAGTAAATGTATCCCTCTGGGTGCCACATGACTTTGTTTCATGTGAGATATCTGTGAAAACAGAACAAGGATCAACTGTGATGCAGTCCAGCCCAAAATAAACAGGATGTCACGAAGCTGATTGTGTGCGAAGCTGTCACACGTGTCACAGATGTTGTTTTACATAACTCCCAATTGATTTGATTTGATTTTGAGTTGACTTTTAACTTGTTTGTTGGAGAAATTCACCATTATCGAAATTGATTTGAGTTAAACTTGTGCAGGGGCAGAGCTAGGTTGTTTTGCCAGGGGTGGCCAAAGCATTTTGTTTAGGGATTGCATTCAAATAAAAATAGCCCCCCCCCCCGGAATTGAAAATTCAACATGGCCACCACACCTAATTCTCAAATGGCTTTAATTCAGCTGTTTTAAGAAGTTTTTAGCTGAAATTTTGTGTGATCGTAGTTRAGAATAATCCAAAAATTGTGCTGAATGTGAGTCACAACTTATTATTCAGCCATTTTTATGCATATAAAGCTGAAAATTAGTGTATACGTAGCTGAAACAATCTTTAATAAATCAAAATTTCAAGATGGCCACCACAGCAAACTTTAAAATGCTATAATTCAGCCATTTAAAGACTTTGTTGTGGAGTAGCTACGAATGATCACATGCCGATTACTGATGCTAATCACAAATCAACCACTAACCACTCATGTCAATGCTAATTTCACAAAGGGCTATAACTCAGCCATTTTTAAACATRCACATACAGTAGTATCAGAGAACAATCTTTAACAAAATCTAAATGCAAAAACAAAATCCAAGACCCACACACTTGGCGTTTATTTGGGGGTGGCCAATCAGCAGCCACCCCTGTGGCTCCGCCCCTGAATCTGCAAGAGGATCATTTCATCTGATTTAAAATCAGGTATATAAATAAGTTATTTAGGGTTARTTCTTTGGAAAAACTGCAATATTAAAAATGAATTATTTGTTTATCACATAAGAAAGCTGCCCTGATGATATTTACCAATGATTTGGCAATGCTTTTTTATTTTATTGCCCAAACACAAGAGCCATTTCTGTAGTTTTATTGTATTTTTGTCTTGACTGAGTGTCCAYAGTTGGAAATGTGTTCTGAAAATAAGCTTGGAACCCCTCAGTCTCCTCAGTTTTCCATCTTTAGATATTTTAATCATGCATTAAATAAGAGATTAGGTCGACATCTCTACTTTGAGCCTGTTCCTCATATAAAAAAATGAAGAAGGTGCTTTATATTCTTCCTTATGGGAATTTTTTAACCTTCTTGACAGCATATTTTGTATTCATAGTGGTGTTATTGAATAGGTCATTGACACTGGATACAAAGCAGAAGTGTTGCATCGTTGTAAGAAATGTCGCAAGTAAAAGTTCAAATATTCTGCTCTGGCTTAGTTATTTAATATTTGGTTGATACGTTAGTCCAGTTTTTACCACCTTTCAAACAATCAACATGGATATCTACTTTAGGCTTTAGGGATAAATTTCTTATTCCATTTTTTAAAATTCTACTGAATTGTAATGTGAACATGAAACTGTTCTATCCATGAATCAAAAACAAACAAATTGGCTTCATAAATCAACCAAAAGCTGTCTTGATTTCTACAGATTAGAAAGAGCCATTGGRAATTTCTAATCAGTGAATCTCTGATGTTTTCATGACTAAATAAAGTCCTTTCRTGACCTGATTTGTTTCTGCTGTTTCTTATCTGCTGTCAGTCTTGTGCTCTTTATTGAYGCACATTCCTGCTCCATCTGAACAACCAGGGTGTCTGGAAAATGTTACATCAGGGATCATTGTGGCTGAACTTTATGTGCGGTGACCCCCACATCCTGAGTCGGAGAAAAGGAAGGATCTACGAACGCTAAAGTGAGCCGCAGCACGATGTTCCGTCCACTCGCTGATCAACAACTTKTCAACTGAGGACACAGAACTAACAGAGTCAGAAATGTTTTTTTTTTCTTGTTTTTGCGGGGATACTTTTCGTTGACTCATGGTTCTTCTGCACGGAGGCTAATTGGAGGTCACATGACTCGCTTACCAAGATGTGCAACGAAAAACAAAATGAGTCAATGCGTTGACCCAAACCAAWTTTTGTTTCTGCTAACTTTTTCAGAGTAATGCATCATTTTTATGKCACCATAAATTGCCTCCCATCTTTGTTTTGCAGTCATTTATTGTGAAACATTTTATTTGTAATGAGGTAGTTGCCGTCATAGATGAGTTCTGGCCTGTTTGGCATCATTTTGAGCTTCTTCACTGATTGTACAACAGATGAAACCCATACAGTGTTTTCTGCAACTGTGCAGCTCCAAAAAAAATGACCCTCACCCTTTTTTTTTTCCAATCAAGACTTTATTCATTTCCTGCTCCACTTTGTTTCCCTACTTCCTCACCTCCTTTGGATTCCTCTCATCTTCTCTGAGAGCACTGCAGCTCTGCCAGGAGCAGTTGAGTTAATTTGCAGAGCTAACAAGTCCTCTGACGACAAAGAGAGGTTTTGAGGATTGTGACATGAAACAATAGGAATGGAAGTTTTCTTGCTCAAGTGTGAGTTCGCTCGTCACTTTCACTAAAAGCCAAAAACAGTAAAGGACTGAAGATTGAGTCGGTTTGCCTGGGAGCTGCTGCATGTTAGTGATATGTCGTAACCGCTTTGCTTCACATTTAGATCAAGGTTAAAATCCTCCCTACACGCTGGAATACACTGCTTTATTTCCACACGCACAAGCAGCGGAGCAACATGTCGGAAAAAATAAGCCAAAGATAGAATCGGATCTTTCTCTGCGCTCTGAGGAGCACAAAGCGATTATCAGTTAGAGAAATACAGTTTCTTCCTCAGTTTTTCATCATAGAGACACCAGTTTTGTGTGTGCAGAGTTAAATGCTTGCCAGTAGCAGTCTACATCGGTGTTTTGTTCACAGTCACAGGATTGTTCCAGAAGGCCTGTGGGGAAATAAAGGGGAAAGAGACGCTGCAGCTGATGAACATTTACTCACTGATCCAACAGGCATTCAGGCCTGTTGCAGTAGATTTGGCTATGTGTCATTCTACACAGAAGATTTTTTTTCCTTTTTTTTTACACCACAACTCAGTGAATATAAGCATTGATTTACATTGATACTCTTTCATTGATTAAATTATCAATGCTTTCCCAGAATGACCAGTTCAGGGCATCAATAAGTGCTTGACTGAAAGTTATTCTCACTTTGCCTCTACTCTG